AGACTGCTCGCACAGGTTTTTGTGTGTCATTGATCCGATCAATGAAATCACTGTTCTCTGTTAGGCGGTCTTATCACTCGTATATTAACTGGGCACGCACGCACACGATATAACATTCAAGAAAGCAATAAACATACTGTAAAACTTAAATGTACAACCCATTTAGGTTTTATGAACATATTCAAGATCTGGAAATGTAATACAGTATATTCAGGAGTTTGAAATGAATTACATGAGATAATATTGCTTTAGGTAATAAGCGATTATTATGTAGGTAAAAATTATATTGGGAAGTCGAATCTCTCATCATTACTTCGATTATTTATACAGGACCGCACTGTTTTCTTTAAACACGAATTATAATTCAAAAAAGTCATGAACTGCAAATGAGCTATGGTTTCAGACTCATTATTATTCACGATAGAAAACTTAGTTTAAATAAAACTAATTCAAAGAAAAAAGATAATGATTGTTAAACATGTTTGATCACGAATCCAGTTTGATAAAACAATAGGTCGTTCACAGTTTATCGAGTTATCCAACGTTTGTTCAATTCACCATTGTTGTTATTTTACCAGGTCACTTTTGACATAAAATTGTATTTACAAAAAAAGTGACAATAACAATGAGTAATCAAAAAGAGTTAAATCATATTAAGAATAACAAGTGTATTTAGTAATTATGATTAAATTAGGTTACTTATATCTAACATTATTTCTATCATTAGCGAAATTTATTATATGGCCAAAATTAAGTATAAGAAAATTACTTCTAGCCAGCACGTCTGCTATTTGTATGACAAGACGTGATTAGAATTACTATAGACAGTTTGTAGAAAGTGGTAAATTCTGTAGTTAATATTACGTACTGATCTTAATTAGGCAGTAAAAGAAACTAAAATGCACAGGACTCACTAACAATGCATATCTCATTAAAATATAACAACCATATAGTGAAGTTATTTTGCAAAATAACAATCAGTTGTCGCAATTTGACTCTTCTGCAAATATCCATCCATAGTCTCCGATTATAATTGTTCATTCATTTTTGTATCAGTTGTGTGCCGTTCCCGTTCTCTCCTTATCGATCTTCTATTGAAAGATATTCAATGCCCGACCATCGTAATATGCTACCTATGTGGATATCAGTAACCCACACCACAATATTTGTTACTGTAGATGTTTGTGGAGGTTGTTGAATTTTACAGTTTACATCATGGACTGGCTATAGGCAACCAATGAAAACCAGGAAGAGGCGAACAAATGTTTCGTAATTCTCAGAGTTCTAAGGTGAAGCTGTATCCAGTGGAGTTCAACCATGACGAATTTGGATAATCATCCATCTATCTACAGTCTAAACTGGATATTGTTGTAAAGTGAAGATACTGAAATAATGACTCTTGACCAGTTGAACCTTGCAGCCGGATTCAAATGTGTTACTAATAAACTATGCCAATTATAGCAATACTGCATGCGCTTTTTTCGCTGGATAATTTTCTGTAATTATTCAACTATGTGATTGAACTAATTACTACTGTGAGAACAGCCTTGATGGATGTTCCACTGTGCAAATGAACAGTATGAGTACAAGTCCATTGTATTAGGATACTGGAAATTGTAAAACAGCATGTGATTGTTATATTATAGAAGGTTTAATCTCAAACATTTTTATAAGTAATCCAACCAATTTTCAGAATTAAAGGTCTACATACTTGTGAGGAATAAAGATTACATGACTGTTCATTGTGAATATCTATTCTTCTGAATCCTTTAAAAGTTACTTAGATTTCTAATTAATCCATATAACTGATTGCCTCAAAAACGATCATATGTCTAATGAATAAAGATTTCCATTTTAATATCGGTGAAATAGTGATTTATGGTCGTTTATAGAGAATTGAGTTTTTTAATCAATACACTACTAACAAGTTAAATGTTTCATTTTATGTATGATTTCATTGAAAAATTAGTTATTATTAGCAAACACAAATTTTAATGACAATAGTAGTTGCTTTATTTAGTGGTATATTTTGTTACAGTAAGAAGTTCTCAACATCTTTGGTAAAATGTTACAACAAATTCTTTTTCAGTGTATACTTAAACGGTAAACATTCGAATTGAAGACAGCTGACAGACTGATTTCAAGTAAGGACCGGAGTCAAACAAGGTTGCCTACTGTCACTCATTATTCTGGTGGTTGAATGGAGTATAAAGACTTCTACATTTGAAGGAAAGCATGGAATGAAATGAACAGGTTGGATGAAACTAGACGATTTGGACTTAGCAGATCACCTGAACTTTCTACCCGGGACTTACCAACAAATGTAAGTCATGACAACCAGTGTAGCAGAAGCTTCTGCATCAGAACGCCTCAACATACACAAGGAAAAAAGCAAGATCCTCAAATGCAACACAAAGAACGCTAACCCAACCATACTTGATGGAGAAGCTCTAGAACAGGTGGAAACTTCCACATACCTGGTCAGCGTCATCGATGAACAAGAAGGATCTGGTGTGGATGTAAAAGCAAGGATTGGCAAAGTAAGAACAGCACTCCTACAATTGAAGGATATATGGGATTCAGAACAACTGTCAACCAATATCAATGTCACAATCTTCAATACGAATGTCAAGACAATCCTACTGTATGGCGCTGGAACTTCGAGAACCACCAAACCATCATCAAAAATGTACAAATATTTATAAACAATTGTCTATGTAAGATACTCAATATCCGTTTACTGGATAACATCAGCAACAGCCTACTGTGAGAGAGAACAAACCAGAATTCAGCTGAAGAGGAAATTAGGAAAAGACGTTGGGAGTGGATAGGACATACATTGAGGAAGTCATCAAACTGCATCACGAGGCAAGTGCCAACTTGGAGTCATGAAGGGAAATAGAAAAAAGGAAGAGCAAAGAACATATTGCGTTGGGAATCGGAAGCACAGACATCAAAGGAATGAATAGCAACTGGAAGTAACTGTGAAGGATTGTCCAGGAGAGAGTTGGATGGAGAATGCTGGTGAGCAGCCTATGCTGCACTACGAAGGGTAACATGCGTAAGTAAGTAAAATGTCGCATTATATCTTAAAGTATCTTTTTGGACACTAATTATCTCTCACTTATCTTTAGTCACAAATTTGTCATGCCAACCCAACCAGTACAACTATTTTTCATTCACCATATATAGAATTCAAGAATTCCAATGTAATCCTCACTCTCATGGATAAAAAAGGAAGGAAATATATCGATAACTAGTGTTTTCGTTTGAGGATTCTTGTACTTAATGTCATAAGAAGTTAAGAACATCCATTCAAAGCTGGTGAGTAAACACGATCTAACTACTTGATTATTCAATCAAAATCATTCGAAAACAAGATGATTTATTGAAATATCTGGACAGTTGAAAGATACACAAATTTAAGATTTTGCTAGTATACAGAAGCTACATTTATTATAATTTCATTAAAGTGAAGTTATGATCTTGTTATCATTGCTGTTGCTCAGTTAAATAGGAGGAAGTTGAAGTTGTAACAAATATCTTCAATACAAACTAGGGTATTTAACAGCTTATCAATGAATGCCATTTCGGATTATATTAATTCCTTGTTGTTCTCTTTTTATTTAAGAACAACTAATGAGTCGAAATTCTGAAGACAGTTGGTTAAAGTGTTGGAATCTATTAGGTTTTCATTTTGTTTTTGGCTATTTATACCATATTACATTGTCTGATTACAAAACTATTAAATGACACTGTTCAATTTTTACTACATTCCAAGTTGATTTTAGATGTTGAATCTTTATAAATGATAAAAAAAGGTTTAGTTCTCCTCACTAAAAAATACCTAGTTTTTTATTCCTACCGAATTTGCTATTTAAAAATGTAATGATAGTTATAAAAACATATTTTTCCCCTTTAATAAAGTTGTTGCATGACAAAGATGAACATAGGGGAATCAGTTGATTCATACTGTGTTAAGCTTTTGTTATGTCTGAAAGACTGTTCAGAAAGTATGAAGAACTATATGTAATTGGTGTCTTAAAATATGTAGTCTACATTAAATTAGGGGGTTCAAGATCAAAACCCATTCTCTTTTAGACTACGTTTCACTTGCAAATTAATCGTAACACGTTACTTTGTCCATTTTCATAATCACTAATCCTTAGTGTTTATTGAGTCCTATCCATTAACTATACAATAAGGTTTTTTAATCTTAGTTAGATAGTTAAAAGAAAAGCATTTCAATATAAGCGTTGTTAAGTGATACACTGAATAGCTTTGGTTTGAATCCCTTGGAGAATTTCACTTTCCAGGAGGACTGAAGTAGCGTCTTGCTGATTAATCTAAAAAAATAACACGATGCTCAAATAGACAAATTCCTAACTATTTCCTACTGCTACCAAAGACTATATCACCTAGTTATATTATGATGCACGTTGATTTCATAAATAATATACTGCTATTTCAAAATGAAGTTTAAAGTGAACATAGAAAAAAAAGGAACATTAGGGTAGTTTAATAGAACATTAGAAAGAGTTATATCTACTCCTAATAATGAATTCACTTTTTTCAATTTCTATCCAAAGTGACTAAGACTGAAGTAGCAACATATCACTAATTTGTTTATTCATACTAGCATATATATGTACATATATGTACTAGTTCAAGTCCACTTACTAATATCGTTTGTAGACAAATAAAAAACAATATAACCAGTTGACCCTTTCAAAAGTTATTATGTTAGCCAACTGAATAAGCTGATTTATTGTTTTCAATTAATTACTCTCATCAAAAGTGAACTGACGGACTCGAGTAATTAAATGAGGATAACGAGTACATATGATTGGTAGAGACAAGGTAATGGTCAACTAAAAATCACACAATAAACATAATTGAAGTATATTAGCCAACAAATTTCATATAAATATTCAAATACACAGTGTTGATAAACAATTTTATAAAAAAAAAACATTATGAAGTTCCTAACATGCATCCTAATGACAACGCTTTCATTAATGGTGAGAATTGATAACTGTAAGTAATGAAATAAGACTTTTTTTTGATAAATTTATGATTACTATAATCAATTGAACCGTAATAAATGACTTAAGACGATAAATTATAAAGGCTGTTTTTTTTCTTTTGGGTATTTATCACAGTAAATTTAGGTTATTTGATTAAGTGATACCTGTTACGTCCCGTAGTCCTGAAGAGAATCTTATGCTGCAACAAATCAACTATTCACTGCCTACTTGTTTCCGGTGTTTGTCTAGTTAAATTCACCTCATCAAACAAATCACAAGTTAAGCAATCTTCACAAATATTGGAACATCTAGTCAATTTCAAGAAACCTCGCTTCACCAGAAGCCTCCTACAAAATTATACATACGGTCTGAAGAGTCAGCGCAATTAGGAATGCAAATGAAAACACTTATGTAAAGCAGAGGCTATTGCTATTCACCAGTTTAACCCTAATCTTTGCGTATAAAAACAACAGATTCTGTGCATCATTCTTCTACGGTCCAAACCTCGCTTTCTACCTCCCATAATCTATCGTTTTTATTCATGTTTCATTATTTTTATCCCTTTCTAATTATTTTTACAAATAATAATTATCAACTATTACAACTTTTAATTATTGAGTTCTTATCAAGTGGACAAGTAGTTTCACCTTACCACTTTTTCACTAACTGAATATTACATAACATCCTGTCAATATCTGATTTTCAATTTTGTGACAACATACCACTTGAAGTTTATAAATAATTGGGACCTTTATATCTTAACTATAAATGCAACTGTAGATTAGAAAAAAATTTTTAAAAAAATTCGAAAAGTGATATTTGAACTGAAGATTTTGAATTTTAATTAATTTTATTATAAGAAGGGGTTTTGTGGAGATTTTAGTAATTTTATAGAGCTGAGGAGTCCCATAATAAGACGAAGCGGCCATCCAGTGCTTCCAGGTTTTCCATGGTGATCTAGCTTCAACTGACTCATGATCTCAACTCTATATAATTTAATTTATATGAAGAAATATAAACTATCGGACTTCAACTGATAATTTATTATCATGATTTCATTTATAAAATTATTAAAATCTCCACAAAAACCCATTCTGATAATAATTATATGCTTGCTAGTGACTGGCTTCAAGAGATATTTCCTGAAATTCCAGTGAGAATCAGTGACTAGTGGAGTTCAACCAGGTCTGTTGTGAGATATCAACTCACTGAAGGCAATGGTAGACGTTTGCTCAATTCCGTGGAGTGGTTGATGTAACACTATTGAATGCCGGCTCAGTGGTCTAGAGGTTAAGCGTTCGCGCGCAAGACTGATAAGTTCTGGGTTCAAATCTCGCGAGGCGGCATAGTGGATGCGTACTGCTGAGGAGTCCCACAATAGCATAAGACAACCATCCAGTGCTTCCAGGTTTTCCATGGTAGTCTAGCTTCAATTGAATCATGATTTTAACTATAAAACTAATAATTTATTGGTTTCATCCTAAATGATGTATATATGTTAGGATCTATTAAGTATATTTCGAAAATATATCAAATGTATTTTTTTATACCCTTTCCAAGTTCTCATCTTAATATCATTTTGAGAAAATCATTTATGTCATAAGCGTCAATAGGTTATGCGATGTTACTTAAACTCCTGGAGTTAAGCAGAAACAATCGGACATAAAATCTGTACTTAGTAAGTGAGAATATTTTACCAGAACTAATATGATACTGTCTCATTGTGAAACCAAAGTCAGAATTCATTTAAAAATACTCATACTAATTATAAATGTCTTCTGAAACAGAAACAGAATTCATAAATAATACCATTTACTAAAATCTAACATTAGCTAAAGAATCACTGAAAATTAGAAAGCACTAAACAACTGTTTTGCACAAGTTTAGAACTCATCAACGGTCGTAACCGATGATTTCATTTAAAATCAAACTCGATATTAAGCTGGACTTTAGTATACTATATTTTCAAATTTAAGCATTTTATGACATTTTACTACACTCACTTAGGGATATTTTTAAATTATTGTCTTGCATTTGGATATCACAAATTATCATAATTCCCTAGAAAATCATCCAACTTAAAATTCACATTAAATTCTAGTTAGAATTTATTCAAACAACAACCTAAAAAAAACTAATGATATAAGAATTTATTCACCCTTTAATAGTGATCCCTAATAAAGAAACATTGTTTAACAAGTATTCCTCAATGAAGTATCACAGTGATTTTGAGCAACAACTCAAAGTATTCATGATTATTTAAAATACTTAGTTTGATCACTTCAGAAAATGAGATTTAAAATTTTTGAAAAAATAAACTGTATGAAATATCATATTATATGTGAAAATTATATTTGATATAATTTCAGTGGTTGAAATGTAAATAATTCCAACGTTTCGCCCATTTAACTTGTCTGAACTTCTTCAGGTTAATAATAAAATTTAAAAGAATTTTAGACAAGTTATTAAATAGGAATAATATATTCCTTGAAAAAGCTTGGACCAGATTGCCAGGCGAAACGTTGGATTTACTACAAATTCATTCGCTGAGATTTTACAAATATATTATTCTTATTTAATGTCTTACATCAACTTGGCACCCAAATACTGTGGAACTATTCGCTCTAATTTAGACGAAAGTTCTTATATTCAGACAAGTTAGTTGAACGAAACGTTGGAATTATTTAAATTTCAATTACTGAGATTATTTCAAATATAATTTCTCTCTCTTCTCTATATTCGGCGCCCAATTTTTGTCAAACTATTAGTTTTAATTTAAACAAATATTCATATAATTGTATGATATATCATTGATGACTATAATTTATATTTTACCTTAACATAATAGGAATAATGTTTAGGATATTCATCCATATGCATCTCATTGTTATCATTTACTTAATGAGAGTTTCTAATGTTTTCAAAATCATTAGTTTAATAGAAAATAATTTTTCCTGATTGATTTCTTATTCATACGCGGTAAGTTTTGTTTAAAAACCATGTTGACTTAATGTGTTTTTAAGTAGTAGTTATTCACAGAGAAGAAGAGTACAGTTAAGTTTAATTGGTTACGGTATAGAAAATAATATTTTTCCTTTTACTTGTCATGATCATCATTATAATTAACTTTTGTTCATCATTACAGCTTTGTCAGCTAACTGTTTCACATGTAATCCATGTCCGTCACCATTTAATCCTGGATCTTATTTAATTAGAAATAAAACAGGCTGTAAATGGTGTGCTGTAAGTTTCATTTGTTTTGAATGTAAATTGAAATATCATGAGTTTTTCTTGTCTATTCATTTGATGAGAGAAATTGTTTTTACCGCATAGGAGTTCATTGAAAAAGAAATGAAAATATGCAAAGCATTTAAAAGTTTTATTGATCATTACTGAGATCTTTTCTTCGAAATTGATGTTTAATTTTAAAGTTAGTTTCATTATGAACTAAGGTTTTGCATGTAAAAATGTATGGCAGTGACAAATTTTGTATGAGCACAGTTATCATCATCATTGAAGTTATGATGATACTAAAGATTATTAATTCACTAAACCCTGTCCCATAAATACTATTGACTTAGAGTAGAAGTCAGTCTAAGTGTCTACATTCATGGCTTATTATATTTACAGTAATCAATTAGATAGTCGATGGCTAGTAAATAAAATATTTATATTTGCCCCCCTCCCTTTTCAGATTCTTAACATTAATATTGAATGTTATAAATACCATTAGGAAGATTTAAGGGAATACATTAAACTGAATAAGACGTTTATATTCACTACCTATGGAATTACCGTCTTCCTTATCAACTGAAACAGTGAGAAACCAAATCTTATCTAATGAAGACAAAAATGAAATATACAGACACATACATTTTCTCGGGTACTTGACATTTACTTTATAATCTTATAACATTAAATTTAACCATAAGAATTAAATAATCATTGCTCTAAGTATAAATTCTACTGGTTCAAATTCCAAAATTTCTCCTGAAGATTCTAAAAGTCAAAACTTCAATGTCTAAAACAATAATAAGATTGATCCGTTTAAAGTATTAACTGCTCCTCAATAATCATCTTTTGTAAAAGACAGTGAATTTCATATTAGTTGAGAAGTTAGTTTACCAAAAATTCTATAAAATTATATATTTTTTTAAATAAATAGTTTATTTTCATAATTCATGCGCACTGCTGAGGAGTCCCATAATAGGACGAAACGGCCGTCCAATGCTTTCAGGTTTTGCCAGAGTGGTCTAGCTTCAACTGACTCATGATTTCAAATATGAAAATTTTCATAATTTTCTAATTATTTTACTTAAAAAAACAATTTTCTCTTTTTTCTTTATCGAACAGAAAGTTGAACCTACCGGCTATTCATATACTGTTAGAGATTGTGTTAATACATGTGAAGCTAATACTTGGTTCTATTTGTTCAATAAATATTCATATCAGTGCTGTACTAAAGATTACTGTAATAAGAGTCAAACAAATTACCCACCTCTACAAATGATAACAATATTGATATTTGCTATTTGCTTATATATTAATAAAATGAATTCAAAAATGTAAAAAAAGCTTAATTAATTTGCACTTGAATTCTTTTTACTTTCAGAAAAAAGAAATGTTATTGAACACATTTATTAAATAATGATTTTATTGTTGGAATGATTAAAAGTATTTGTCGTATACGATGATTATTTCCGAAACTTTTGATTGAGACTATGAATCGATCGGTGTTAGAGCACCATGGTAATTATCACTGATAATTACCATGTGCTCACTAGTGACTAGCTTCATGAAAGAACTCTCGAAGTTCTAGCGAAAAGCTGTGACCAGTGGAGTCTAATCCGTGTCGAGGAAAGATAGATACCTACCTCAGACAACCGAAGATGGTCGCGCAGTATTGTAGATTGGTTGAAGTTAGACATTAACACCGCTGGATGCCGGCTCAGGGGTCTAGTGGTTTGTAGTGCCGTGCTTCGCTAATCATTAACCTTGATAACCGTTATAAATGCAATCTTAACGGTGCATAAAAACCAGATGGCAAAGAGAAGTGGCATCTACAGTTTTATTGACAAATGACGCAGACCAGAAAGTTATAAACATATGAGTAAATATCAGCGAGCGAAACAAAAATGACAAGCACTGGAGATGGCGGGTATGCCAACTCACTTTAATCAAGCGTTAATCGATATTTATAGTCAGACAAGAATAAATGACAGACATGTGATAAATAGTATATGATGTGTGCACACACCTACGCTCATATAAAAATGGTCAGGGTTAATAAGTGAATAATTAACAAGGTGAGAACATAACTAATGATGGATAGGTGAATTGAATTGTCCAGAAGTTAGAATAAGGCATATGGGTCTAACATAGCAACCGATACTACAGGTTAAGTGTTTACGCGCGAAACCGAAGGTCCTGGGTTCAGACCCCGCCTGTGAGATCGTGGGTGTGCACCGCTGAGGAGTTCCATATTAGGGCGAAACGGCCATCCAGTGCTCCCAGGTTTTCAATGATGGTTTGACATCGATCGATTTACGATCTCAATCAGAAACTTAACAATCTCCACAATCCCATACTTATAGTTTCCAAAGCACTTTATCTTCTGATTTGAATGGTTTGGTGTCTTGTTTTTTTTTCACAACCTCATAAGCACACATTTATAAAAACTGTCAGCCAGTAGAACTTTCTTTCACAAAATAATAACAATTTTGCAAAAACAAAATTCTAAAGCCTAACTTCTTTTCAAAGTGTATGCTAATGATATTGTTTAGGAAAACAATGAAAACTTCATGAATAAACTGTTCAAAATAGAGAACATTGCAACATTAAAAATAATTTGTGATTTCTTAAAATTATATTTTTAGTAATACTTGTCTATTTGATTCATCATGTGTGTACTAGTAAGTGGAATTTGTTTTTGTAAATATATTTTTAGAATTAATGAAAGATTGTGTCATCAAAACCAAGTAATTCTATCCTTGGTAGATTTTTCTTCAGTTTTTAACGTCAACTAAATGAATCTAATTGTAAAATTGATCAGTCTGTTTAAGTATTCTTTGATTCAACAATATATATAAGTTTGCAACAAAGATAAATAGTTTTGATTGTAAGAACAATGAATTTTATCGTGTTAGTACTATTTCTTAGTAAGATTCTCCGATACAATATAGCATGCACCAATCGAGTTACACTTGACGGAGAAGCTTTAGAGGATGTGAAAACTTTTACATATCTGAGCAGCATCATTGATGAACACAGTGGATCTGATGCAGATGTGAAGACGCGGATCGGCAAAACAAGAGCAGCATATCTACGATAGTAAAACATCTGGAAGTCAACTCAACGACTGTTAACCAACACCCAAGCCAGAATTTTCAATACAAATGTCAAAACAGTTATACTGTATGGGGCGGAAACCTGGAGAACTACGAAAGCCATCATTCAGAAGATCCAGGTGTTTATTGACATTTGTCTACGCAAAATATTTTGGGTCCGATGGCCAGACACTATGTGCAACAACCTACTGTGTGAGAGGACAAACCAGATTCCATCCAGAGGAGGAAGAAATCAGGAAGAAGCGCTGGAAGTGGATAGGACACACATTGAAGATATCACTCAACTGCGCCACAAGGCATACCCTCACTTGGAATCCTGAAGACCAAAAGAGGAGAGGAAGACCATACTACGCCGAAAAATGGAGACAGATATAAGAAGAGTGAACAAAAGTTGGATAGAACTAGAAAGGAAGGCCCAGGACAGAGTGGGTTGGAGAATGCTGGTCGTTGACTTATACTCCATTGGGAGTAACAGGCATAAGTAAGTAAGTATCATTTCCTAAATGAAACAAGATAGTATCTGATGGTAGAAGTTAATTAAATGTTCAATTTTCACCTCGGTTTAAATTAATTTAATCGTTCTTGGCAATTTCAATATTGTTTTGTCATTATATATTGTGTAAGTTTTATTAATTTTTAACAAATTAATAATCCAATAAAAGACAACTTAGAAAGTAAACTAATATACTGATCAAATACATCACGGATTATTGACTGTCCGGAAAAAAAGGAATTAAAGAAAAACAGTATATTGTCTATGTATAGTTGAAATCATGAGTCAATTGAAACTAGACCACCATGGAAAACGTGGAAGCACAGGACGGCCATTTCGTCCCATTATGAGACTCCTCAGCAGTGCTCATCCACGATCCCGCCTCGCGAGATTCGAACAGTATGTTTTAGAAAACACGCAACATGTAATTTGTAAAAGTAACAAAATAGTACGTCTAAATGACTAAACAATAAATAAGTTTATTATTAAGAATAAATATTAAGAATTGACTCTTCTGAGCCATTACTAGTAAATGAAAGTTTGTTCATATAAAATACTTAACTAATTAATTAAGCAGACATGCGAGCTTGTAATTTACTTTACGGCCGAGATAAAATGCAAAAAATAAGATGAATTAGTATCATGTTTCTATCTGAACACTGTAAAATATCTTTGAATAGACTATCAGTTGATCTAGAGTGATGCCTAATGAATAGTTAATCAATACAATCAAAATCAGTATGTAAGTAGTACTGCAGTGAACAGTACACGACTGGAGACAATCGATTGTACTTAGGCACAAATTACAGAGTATCTCACTAAATTCTGATAACCATACAGCAAACAGTTAATTTGCAAAATAACAATCAATTGACTCAATATTAAGTGTTCCTTCTGCAAATATCAGTCCGTCTTCACTGATTTCATTGTTTATGCATTTTCATACTGATTGCGCTTCATTCCTGTTCTTTCCCTATCGATCTTCTGCCAAAATACATTCTATGTCTGACTATCACCACATACTATTTATGTGGATATAAGTAGACCACACCACAATACTATTTTCAGGTACTTATAGTAATTCTTTCCAAATAAATTAAAAACTGAATTTTAAGGTCTAAACAACATCATTTAATTTCTTATCTAATTGAGATAAATGTTAAACAACTGAAAAAAAAACGGGAAATCACTTAAGGCTTACATCGATTACGGTACGATAGATGGGGAGAGGAATGGGATTGAAATTAAAAGATTTAAAAAGATATTTTTGAAGGGAATCAATTTGTACATTTCTATTCGTATTTATCAAGCGATCGGTTCGAGTTTTTTAATAGTATATTAATTATAAGCTTTGATTTAACTAATTAACATTCGCGACATCTCTTGCCGTTTGTAAATCATGGTTAATTAGCCATAAGGCTTTTACTTAACCTGGTATCAAGAATGTCCTCGCTATATGTTTGTTTAGATTTATAAATTGTGTAGGTTATCACCTTTCTTTTTTTTACAAAATTACGTGGGCTTTGGGAGCCTGAAGGATGCAAAGAACATATAGAACATGTAGGACTTGGATAGTTTATTTAATAATTAGTTGATTGACGAAGGATGAATTTTACGTGTCCGATCGATTGTTGGCGTATGCAGTATCAAGGTTAGGAAAGTCAGTTTTGTTCGTGTAGTTGAGAACGACTATAGAATGATAGAGTTTTGGCCATAAATAGGAACAGACAATCGTAACATGAACAATATAAGATCACAGAAAACAAGATATCTTAAAAAATGAAAGTAGCAAACTGGTCAATAGACGACTGGTCTAGTGGGTTTTATTATTCCTCTCTAGCACGGATATTTAAACCAGTAATAACGTTAGCTCGAAAAATATTATCTATATAAAGGGATTTTGATAGATGAAAATGACTGATCAATACTGAATAATATGATATTCATTAATACACATGTTAATAACCATTAAATAAAGGTGGAAGTCTACCAGATATTTTCTACAAATCTTTACAAATGAGTGAAATGAATTTCGCCAATGCACACCTTCGTTGAGACCAACTTTATTCATTTTTCAAATTATGTTTCTACCAAGTTGATTGATTATATGACATATACTTGTGAATTCACAAAAAGTGAATAATCATAGGTAAAGTTGTTCATTAACAGACAGTGAAAGTAAGAGTGAATAAACAAGTAAATTCATGACATAACCATAAGACATTACTGAGTGAGGATGATTTCATTTTTGTGTTTTGTGGTTGCTACAAAATGGACATTAATACGAATTGTGATAATTTTATTTTGTATATCCACTTGGGCTAAGTAATCTATTTGTTACAACCATAGTTCATGATATAGATAATTCAGCTGTACGTGTTTGAATCTTATCGTTGTTAATATGAATGATTGATACTGATCAGTCTCTTTTGCCATGTGTGCATCCTGAGTGTAATACCCCGATATTACCATCAAAAGGAATTTTGTGCATAGTAGGATTTTGTCTAGCAGTGAAATCCAGGATGTGCGTTTTGTCTTGTCTGAGACTCGTCAAACGGATCCCTTTGCTACTTTTTATCTAACTTTGCTTAAAAGGTTTATTTATTTGAAACGAATAGAACATATTGAAGAAGACAAGTTAAACCACGACGAATTAGAAAAGCTGTGAATAAAACCACCAAATAGCTCTATGTGATTAGAAACTGGAATGTTCATATTAACAACAAATT